GATAAGGCTGTGCATACATATTGCTTTCTAAAATAAGGAAGCCTATAATTAAAAAATAGAAACCTGGATAGTGTATGTCCCTACCTGCTGAGATAGCTGATAGACTCAGCTTTACAAACTTGTTTTCACAGGGAAATAGGGTACAAAAGATATTTGAGATGCGAAGGAATTTGATACCATCCTATGGAATTTCTCATTGTTTAATGTTGATTAAAATGAATAAAATTTAACTTTGTCTCTAACTAATGATATCTGTGCTAGGTGGGAGGTAGACAACTGGATATCGATGCATATTTTCTTATTTCACTTCTTTGGAGTCATTTCTCTGCAAGTAAGATTACAATTGGCATTGAACTTTAAGATTTACCCCTACATTTTTAATGTTGTATCAATCTAATTTCACTCTCAGTCACTGATATGGTAACAAGAGAACACTAAGTAAAGAAAATGATTATTAGGTAGTTACAACTGCTGTCTGTGATTGTATTACCTCTGTTACAAGGAACTATTACACAGCTCATGAATTAAACATTATGCTTTGTATTTCATAGCTCTTCATATTTACCAGTGAACAATAGACACAAATGATGAAAATCAACGTACCAGATCTTCTTAGCCATGTAAGCACAGGCAGATAAGAAACTAAGGTTGGATTTACTGTTACAGTAAACTTAGTTGTCTAATTAGAGATTTTCATCTTTAAGCTTTGCCATCGTATCACTTACCTGTTATACCCTGTATTCATAAGTAAAAATATCATTAGGTAGCCAGCAGTAAAATGTTTATGAGGAAAACAATTACATATTTTTTGAAAATGGGAAAAATGTGCATTTTTAAGAAAATGGTACTTTTTTAGCATTTCTTTTTTTTATCATTTTAAAATGGTGTTTTCAAAGAGGGCGTAAGTTTGGAATGGATGAACTAGAAGACAGAGAAATGTGAAAAACTGAACATTTATGTTGAAGCTTTGGTGTTAAGTGCAAAATATTTTAACTTCATCACAGACATCCTATAATGACCTACACCTTAAATGTTTACATTTGCTTTGGGACAGTGGCTGGACAGGAGGGATCTATGAGTTACATCTGATTACAACAGGATAAACACATTTTAAATGTAGCCAAACAATGACAGTTTCAATAGTTATGAAGAAACAACATAATAAAAATACTGTTTTGACCAGGTTGGTTTTAATATACAATAATTTAAGACATTAATTCTCAAGTTCATTTTAAATAGCAGTCATGCAAATCTTCTGACATGTTTTTACTCAAATGGTGGAACAAATTTGTACTATGTTCCTGTGCTTGCACTGGATTCCTGCAAAGAAATGAACCCTTCAGAGCCTCAGTTTTCCCTTCACTGTAATCCCATCAGTGTTGAAAGCAGATGTGAGATGGTTCTGACAAAGTTGGCCAGTTAGGCAAACTGCTTTAGGATTTCAGAATGCATAGTGTGAGCCTTCATCATCAGCGTGGTAAGCAAAGGCTGCATAAAGGAGAGACTAACAGTAGGCCCTTAAATTAATTAGCTACCGACAGAGTCTAGCTAAGAACAGATGAAATCATGAACTAGCAATGATGAGCAGAAAAGAGGACAGTTACACAAGATTTTTCAGAGGCACAAATGCTTCCGTGATTCATTAAATGTGGGAGGCAAAGACATGACTCTCAGTGTTCATGCCTGGCTTGTTGGGGCAGTGGTGGTGTTTTTGACAGATCTAGAACAGTCAGAAAATGATGCAGGCTTGAAGGATAAACTGTAAACTCACAATGTGTTCTGCTATATTGACTATGACTTAAAGTAATCCTTAAGTGTTACTGATCTACCTCTAAGGGAGTTTTTTTCCCCAAGTGTGATAAAATAAAACTGGTAGTGAATAAGATGATTCTGGTGGTGGATGACAGGGCTATCAAATAGACTTTAATTAGGAGCTAAGCAAATCTTTTCTTGTGAAGTACTCCCTCTGTGTTGTTTACATTAAATCGAATGTTCTACTTTGGTAATAGTTGTACTTAGTATACCTCCAGTATCTCTTTTTCTCTTTCCCTTTTTAATACCTTTGAACCCACTGTATGCACTTACAGAATATTTGTTTATTTTTAAATTATATTTTATATGAATTTATATTTATGCTCATTGGTTCTGCTTTACTACATTATCTATTTTGGGAAAAATATTCGGTTACTAAAAACAATGTATCAATTTAAAGGAACAAATTACTAAACATAGGGAGCCAGCTTGATCTGACCACAGCCTTGATTTGTAACTGACGCTATTACCCCCGGAGTAACCCTCCTCTCTTTCCCCTGCATAATTTCTCACACAATATAAATTAACCAATAGAGTAGTACCAGAGTTTTACCATCAGGTCTGGTACCACCCATCCTAGGTATGTCCCTGACATGCTTGATGCTAGTTTGGGATAAATCAGGTAGATTCTGTCAGTTTTTGTGCTGAGCATCAAATAAGCCCACCTCTTTGATCCAAATCACAATGATCCCCTAGACTTGCTGCTGAGTTTGACCATGATTCTGTCAGTGAATGTTCAGAAATTATACTCTGCAGTTCTAAATCTGGCCAAGTCTTTCTTTGGTCTCAGAGGCTGTGAGGTTCATTCTTGTCACCATATTCTCCTGGAGCATTAAGGAACTAGCAGCTTACCCCCATGTAAGATACAATAAAGTCAAGTGACTAAAGGTTAGAAAATAGCTGTCACATTTTAAGCGACACTCCTGTCCAATCAGAATGGAAGTGACTTAAAGGAGATATGGTTACTATAAGTCTACAAGAAAGCCACGTTACCGTAATGGCTAAATTTCAAAAAGCTTATAATTTAAACTTCTGATAATTTCCAAAAAAAGCTCACTAATACACTGTCTTGTCAGTATCAACTATGGGTTTTGCTTCAAAAAAAGAATTTCATCAGAAACCAAGCAAGATACAAGATGAGACCTTCCACTCAATATAAAACCAGCTGTCACAAAGATCAGGCTACCTCTCTGTTACTAATACCACTTTCAATTCAGCCCTTTTTTGTCATAGAAGAAACTGAAATAATATTGCACACAGCATACAAAAACCAAGACCAAATGTGAAGCCAAACAACCATAAGAAAATTCACAAAGGAGTTCATGAGTTCTATTAATTGATATTTCTCAAATCACATCTGTTTTTTTTTTTTAAATTTTGCTGTGATTTCCTTAGAAAGATTAATAGCCTTGTAGAATCCTGGGAATGCTTTTTCATAAGCTTAAAGTAAGTAGATGATTTTCTCCTAGAAATATTTCTCAATAATAAATGTTCATGATCATTCCCCATGTGAACATTGAACCAAGAATAAGATTAGATCATTTTATGCACAATTCAATCCTTTCTGTACTCTCACTTGGTTTTAATGTAATTCTGGGCTCAAAATGACTATATAAAAAGTCTGCTAGTGATAAGCTTATGTGTTCTGTTTTAGAGTACAGGAATAATTATATAAATATGAATGTACAGCAAAATGTATTGCCCAATTCTTCATTCTGTAAGCATAAAAAAATAAGATATATGTATAAATGGTCTTCTTTCATAGTTAAAAGGCCTCAGTTCTAAAGCAACTCTGTTTATTCCCCTCAGGTTAAATGAAAGATTCTTCTAGTATTTGATGGTCAGAAACTCTTGCATATAAAGAAACATAAGGCCATTTTTTTCCAAACATACTCAAACATTGCTGTGACCTTTTGCTAAGAAAGAAATCCTTTGGAAGAACTTGTGAATACTAAGGCCAGATACCTCCATTACAGAGAATAATGGTTTTGAAGGCTGTATCTTAACTTGTCATCTTTGTGTAGACCCTTAATTTGCTTCTCTCTGTAAAATGTACCAAACTCCATTCCAACATTATCCAAAACAAAAATAGAAAAAAATAAGATACGTTTGGATAAATCAACAGAAATCTGCTTGGATTGTGGAAGTCTGTTTCAAATGATAAATCTTAATAGATAATAAGCTAAGAACAAAATGTTCACAATGTAAATTGGAACATATTTAAACTTATACACTATAAGAGGATTAGTTGGGGTAATCTGCATGGAATATATATATATATATATATATATATATATATACTCAGCATTGCAGAGAGTTCAAACTGGACATACATGTGATAGATATAGTTGGGAATTATGTCTTAACTTTCTCTACATGGGATTTTAATTAAATTAAATAGTACTAGTAAAATAATAAATCATTATTTCATATAAAATGCTGATTTTTAGCTTCATTTGAAATATCTAAAATATTGAGTATATTATGCCTTATACACATCTGATAATTATAACCAATTTAGTAATAGATCTGCCATTGACTGAGTATTCATCATGTGTTAGGGATCATTCTAAGTAGTTTATTTCTTAAATATATAAACATAGTAGTTGTGAACAGTTGCTTTTATCCGTTTTGGGTTTTGCAAAAGCAGATGCCCTCAGAGGTTCCATCAGTTTTTTCAGTATCTGTAGATGCACCCCAGCTGATGGAGGAAAGCTCTAAACCCAGCCTTGCCTGATATCAAATCATGGTCTGTTATCCACTAACAGAGGCAGTTTGTAGCAATAAATTACTGAAAGGACACTGGGTCTATATTGACAACAATATTTTTTCTGCATTTGTAGAATATCCATTACCTCTATTTGATTAGGATAAATGACATTTCAACATATTAGAAAGGTATTCCACAAACGAAACAACAAATCTGCACCTAATAAATGTTTTCAACTGCCATTAATTTTTTTCTTAAAAATTAGCAGATAATTTACTAATCAAATTTGTTTCAAATTGATAGAATACATTCATGTTTGTCTATTCTACTAGAATATCAATTATAATTTTCTCTAGGAAATCAAAAGACTTCACTGAATTTCTGAATGTCATTCATAGACAAAAAGCCTTTCAACTCACACATACCAAAATTTGAAGTCTGGAAGGGTCACTTAAAATTTATGTCAAGTGCATCTTACCAGAAGTCGTCTTGACCACTTCAGTGGTGTTTCTGAGTCCAACAAATGAGAATTGGTAGAGCCTCCAAGATCTCGTGTCACCCACTTCAACAGAACTACGCTTCCATTGGTAGACAATTTCTTCACGCGGGTAGCCATCTGCAGTGAGGTGGAAAAGTTCACATTGCAAACAACAATAAATGAACATGCGTGGCAGCCACCTTGTATACACAGGACACTGAGGTAACTAAGGAGAAAGTCGTAAGTCAGATGAACATCTTGGACTAAGAGTTATTGACTAAGATGACTATAATAGCATCATGTCTTCATGTAAGGTAAGACTCAAAAATTAGAATGTCAATGTTACCCAGGAAAATGAGGTTAAAAGGTGTAGAAGAGATACCGTATCCATATTTTACATCATCTGAGGTAACTTGTAAGTGACTGATATAAACTAACAAGTAAGTACATTGTTTTGCAGTGAATAATGATCAACAGGAAGTTACAGAGAGGCGTAACTCAGCAACATTGCTAGTTTGTTAAACGTTTAAAGACTATTTGTAATTCCTGATAAAACTGATCTATTTTCCCCACTGAGACCAATTGTAGTTATGAAAAAAAGAGACATTGCCAAGATATTCAGTAAGTAAAAACTAAAAAAAAAAAAAAAAATATAGATTCAATTCCTCCAGAGAGAAAAATAATTGTGAAAAATTTCAACTCTTTACATCATTATCTCTTCATCTGTTTAGGCTAATTTAATATATTACATATACCCAAAACAATAGGGAGGAATGCTAAGGGGAAGACATTAATTATGTTGATAACAAGACAAGGAAAATTCTTCATGAAAAGGGATTACAATGAAAGGTGGGAAGATGTAATGGTTATGATGACAACTTTCCAAGCCAGAATACTCTGGAAAAATTTCTTAATGTTTTTGTAACTTGTTTCTATTTAAGCATGATAATACTACTTGATGTGAAGAATATTTTTCTGGAATGAAAAGCATTGTTAAACCAAATGTGGAATAAACTCTCTCAAATATAAATAAGTGAAAGAAAACTAAAAGTCACCTCAACTATTTATCCATTAATAATGCTATGTAAGGATGCTACTTCATTGTATGGTATAATTCATGATGTAGTAAAATCTCATAGTTCCACTTCTTTTGCTTTTGATTTAATTCTTATGCTCAGGTAAATCAGGACAAAAATCATGCTCAGAGAAGTATTGGACATAGATATGTTAAAATGGATTAAAAACTGAGGAAAATAACAAATTATAATAGGGAATGTTTTTATGATGAATGACCTGTTGACTGATTTTGCTACAACAATAAGTAATATTTCCCTATACTTAGGCTCAGAGTAATTCATCCAGAAACTGAAGGCACAGAAATTTCCAGTTCTTGAGACTTAAGATTACTCAGGAGACAAGCAGTCTCATTTAGAAAATTAAAAGATAAGAGGGTTAATCTCATTAAAGCTCATGGAAGTGTTAAATTTATAATTAAATGTGTCCTATTCTTAGATGAAGCAAAGTAGGCAAAACACTTTACAATGAGAATTTTTATAAATATATCTGAGGTACACTTAACAATGTCTTCTGATTTATACTGGATTCTAAATAATGATGAATAAGTAATTGCTTCTCTGGTCATTCATTTTTATTTTTATTTATAACATGGATTTAGTTGTTACTATGAGCTTTTCTAAATATCTGGCTGAAAATTATGCTTATAAACATATACTTAAAGTGTCCATATTTTTTACTTTGCCTAATATGCACAACTAGCACATTATAAGTAAAGAGGAGATGAACAATCCAAAGAGATTCTGAACAAACAATAAAGCAAACATTTTTCGGAGCCTAATCTTACTTGTTGAGGTTCTGATATCTGTGATTATGATTAAAACTTAGCCTGAGTCACACTGGACCATCTCTATATATTGCGTTGTTTAATGATAATAGTTATTAATAAGAAGTCATGCTTTTATTGACTCTGTGTGAATCAAGTATTCTACATAAGAGATAACAATAAAACTATTTTTGGATGGGAGGTGTTCATTAGCAACACAGCCATCGCACACTTCCTTTTGAGTCCTGCTATGTAAATGCAACCCATTTCAACAAAGAGCTCTGAGCAACATTGCTAGTTTGTTAAACGTTTAAAGACTATTTGTAATTCCTGATAAAATTGATCTATTTTCCCCAATGAGACCAATTGGAGTTATGAAAAAAAGAGACATTGCCAAGATATTCAGTCAATAGCACAGATTAATGCCATTTTGCAATTGTTGGCAATTTCACCAATTAATGAAATTACAATCGAAGACTACAGGTATCAGGTGATATAAAATGCAACAGGAATATTACTTACAGCTGGAGAACTCTAGTGGGCAGGAGTGTTCATCCATTGGGAAGTTGTGCAACTGTAATTGGCACTCAGCATCAATTGTCAACCTAAGGAGAAAAGTATTAAAAATAAATAGTACGTGTAATTTTTAAAATTGCTCTCCTGAACCAGGGGACTTGCAATGAGTTTGAGGTGAGTCTGGGCTGCATAGTGAGTGCAAGGCCAGCCTGGAATAGAAGGCGACCCTCTTTTTTGGTGGAAGAGGGAGGGGTGGAGAAGACTAAATTAGATTATTCACTTTTCCCAATCATCACATCAGTTCCACTTATTCAAAATCTGTATTACTTAAGTTTTTTTTTGAAAAATTACTTTCACAGTAAGAATATTCAGTGAATATATTTAATTCAACAAACTTTTAAGTACTTAAGCTCATTTAGCATTTGCAAGTAAATGAGAAGGGACTAGTCTCAGATTTTATCTGCTAATTAAATCAGGGCTCTTAAAAACTTTGTATTTGCTGCTTTTAAGTTTATTGGTACACTCTAGGTATACATAAAGACCCCAATCATTAATTAGATGGATTTCTTGTCTCTACATAGTATAGCTTTATCCCTCTTTCTCTCACTCCCATTCCCATCCATTCTTTTCAAACTCTCTTCCCCACTTTTCACAAAGCTCGATTTTCATTTTATCCTTCTTTTCTATTTTTTTCTTTTCCTTTCCTTTCCCTCTTCCCCTCCCTAGTTCCCTTTTCCTTCCAAACAATTTTTTCTAATTGTAAAAATTTGTTAGTTTTTAGCTGCACAGTTCTACTAGTTTAAAAATGCACATATTGTACAATAAAGTTTTATACATTTTTATTACTGAACACTCCGAACTCAGGAGAGAGAGAGAGATAGAGAGAGAAAATCTGAAGTCCTGAGCTAGGATTTTAGGAGGACAAATAAAGCAGTCCAGATTTCATTTTGGAGAATTGTAGATATAATGCCAAATTGTAATGGTAATAGGTTGAATTTTTAAATTTTTTATATTATGAACTATTTCCTTATAAGATGCAGATAACACTATTCAAATTACAAAAATACTTTATAAAATTTTATTTTAAAAGATTCTTCAATTTACATAACTTTTAATTGGGTAGATATTATAGTTCCTCAGAATCATAGAGTAATAACAGAACTTGGACTATATCTTTAATTGTCCATGTAAATGTGAATAAAGTGAACTGTTGCCTCATTTAGTAAGTATCATTAAGACTTTATTGTATTTAATCTTTTTCAAAGCCAAATAACTATTGGCACATTTGAAAGAAGAACATAGATTTATTTGTCTCCAAACTAGAAGTTTTAATAATTGTCCCTTCATAATCATATGATCTTAAAAAGTAAAGATTAGTTTTGTTTATAAATGAAATAATAATTAAATTTGATATTTGTTAGCATTATCTCTCCAGATTAAACTGGAATTACTAAAATTGCTAGCAATATAGTTAGATTTCTCATTCAAACATTGACACAGACACATATTTATGCATACATGCCTGAACACATACAGATAGCTCATTATTGCTATAGCGACCTTAATAAAATCTCTAACTATAGACTGATAATGTTCAAGTCTTAATTGAATCTCATGGGTGACATTTTAGGAAGTTTCTATAATTGAAAATTGTAATGATACTTCAAATTAATAAAGTCAGAAATGACAATTTTATGAGAACAATAAAAAGGCTTGAGATAAGGTGACTGTCGTCACATTTCAACATCTAGACTGAGATACGCTTTATCATACAGACTGTGATCTCCACTAGCTTCGTATTCCAGACACTACCTTTAATTAAATAAACCCTGATGAACACAAAATAGACGCAACAAATTTCTTTTGTAATTGTGATCATCTTATAATATAATTTTGATAAAGGACTTGGAGCCATTTTACAGCATATTGTATATATCAAGCATTATATAAAGCATAGATAATATGCCACATGAATATAGTATTACTAATTTGCAAGCTAGAAGATGTAGAATGCTATTAATTTTTTTACTGAAAATATACACAAATAATTTTAATACCTTCTCTGATTACTGTGAATCAGGCAGTATGTTAAGCATTTATATATTGCCCCACTTTATCTCTGTAACAATCCTGCAAGGTAAGAATGACTATGTTTTATAGAAATTTAGCAATGCAAGGTAAAAGTTTGTTCAGTTGTGGCAAAGGAAGGGTAGATGTACTGTGGCATGATGACTGCTGTCTTTCCTAAAAAATTATATCAGTTCTCATTTAATTCATCTAAATAAAAATGTAATGAATAAAATCATCACGTTTATTATGCAAACAAAGCTTTGAGATGAGACGTCTTCTAGAACTAAGAACCTATTACATATTGATTCTCCTTAGTCCCTGTCAAAAGAAATTCTGGAAAGTTGCTCTAGTTCGTTAGATAGCAAGATAGAGAGCAAAGAATCATAGCCAGATCGGTCTGATTCGTAAGCATATTTCCTTATCGAGTATGCTATTTAATAATATAATGTTATCCACAGTGCAAAAGTATTTCACATGCAGATGAATAAGAGATGGGATAAAATGTCATACAATAATTTAAATAGCAAAATTTCCGATGTTACTTAATATCTAAGTTCAGGAGATGTAGCTTCCATCAACTTTTCCCACAAGATGACTGTGCCCCAAATAGACAACAAATTAATTCACACAGGCCTATGTCAATCGGGATGGGGGGTGGAGATGGAAGATAATAAATTCTGGGTTTCTGTCATTGTGTAGTTAAAAAGAGATTGCGTGGAGACTTCTACATCAAAAGTTCTCCTTTAGTGATGATTTCCTTAAAAATGAAATCATCTCCATTGTGGGAACTGGTTGTCCTGCCTGTTAGAGCATCCGTAGTCTCATGCAGCAGGACACACACTCCAAAGCCACGATTGGCACAAAGCTCAGGTGATCTCACAAAAACAAGGGCAATTTCATGTCAATTGTGAGAAACTAACCTTTTCACTTCGCATTAGTCATGGGACAAAAGTTTTACCCATGTTTATATGCTGTGTGCTTTGAAAAGCTTACTGATAATAGAGAAAAGTAATTTTTCTATGCCACTTGACATTTTAATCAAGCACAGCGAGCCCTCTGTGGGTTTGAAATGGCATTTTTTAAAAGGATTGTGGTGTATTTTTGTTCCATTGGTTGCAGTTACTCTTTTCTTTTCCCAAGAGAGTACCTTAGCGTGTAGAGCACTCTGCCATCATTCCAAATCCTCAGCATCCTGTTGGGAGTGGTTATCCAATGGGCATCTGCCTTTTTGGAGTTCCTGAAAAAAGTGTCCGGAATCCAGATTTTCCCAACCATATTGCTATTTAGTCGCAGGACTTTAATGGTGCTGTTAAATTTCAAGCGTCTGTCATACCATGTTTGGGCAAAAAATATATCAATTGTATATTCCTGTTTTAAAGAAAAAGATAAAGCAGAACGTTTTTAGCACAATCAGAATGCATTGTGGAGTGTTTGAGTATCTCATTCTTGTGCAATTGTCAATATGAGGCAAAGCTATTTTGGTTTTGAATAATCCAAAGGAAAGGAATACCTCAGTTGATAAGGCTATTATTTCATTTGATTTATAGACAAGTTATTTTTATGAAAAATTAAAATTTTCTCAATCAGTTAGGACAAAAGATCATAGTTCAGACATAGTCTTTTGTTCTCCATATCTATAGAAAATTTTGTAACAATATTTTGCACAAGCTAATCGTTTGCTATGCAGATCAGCCCTATGTACTGCAGAATGTTTGTCTGCGTCCTTGGCTTCTACATCCTAAATGTCAGTAAAACCCTTCCACCTTACCCTACTCCTGCCAGTGAATTAAAACAAGCAAGATAAAATCACCGTGGATATTACCAAAAATATTCTTTTGCTATGCTCAGAAGCATTGTGATAGAGTGAAATAAGAGCTAGAATACTAAAAATAAATATATGATAATAAGCTACCGAAGTGGAGGTTCAGTGGCCTTATAACAAAATAGAGATAGTAAGAAACTGAACAGGTTAGATAATATGAAACTGGAAAAGAGAAATACACACCAAGTGCTTTGCACCACACTCAAACAGCATGCAACCAGCAAAACAAACAAAATTCATTTTTTTACTATTCATTATTGCTGCTTTTCTTCCCTTTATAACAAGATATAATTGAACAATTAAAAGTAATTTTTATACCTCATACATCTCTATCAGGAAATATATTATTAAATAATATGATGAAAAAGCACTATGACAGTTCTCTCATGTATATATCACTAAACTAAAAAGTGGTTGACTTCAGTCAAAGTAAAGCAAGTATCAAGTGAAATTCACACTACTGGCTTTAGAGTCAGAATATGAGCTCCAGTGTGACTAGCCTAGGTACAGATATTCTTTGAGGAAAACATCTTTAGTCTTTAGCCTCATTTTCCTCATCTTTACAAATGAAGAATTAACACAAATACAGGAATAGGTCCCCTTCAGCTCTAAAATTAAGCCTCTGCTTCTCAATTTCATCATCATTATCATCATCTTAATTGTTAATCAATAGGCTAGTATAACTTTATTTTTGTTTTTATCATTAAGCAAGTACTTATTTGTGTCAATTCTCTGGCCAAACACTGCATGTCATCTCGTTTAATAAATCCCTTTGTGTCAACAATACAAGCAAAGAAAAAAACTAGTGTAGTAAACAACTGATTCAATGATTTTACATTGCCATGACTCCCAATAACTTGACGTAGGTACAACTCATATTATTTTATATCTTGAATTTAATCACGTATATAAAGGGCAGAATTAAACATAAATTGAAAATTAAATAGAATTAAAAATAAAAGCAACTCATTCTTACTAAAATACAAGAACTTGGAGGAAAGGCCATTTACATTTCCTAGTCTAGATCCCTACGCTTCATTTTATATTGGAAAACATGAAGAGCCATGAAAATGCTTGATTTGTCAAAGCACATGCGGATTGCTGCATCTGCTCCTTCATGTGATCCGCTCCATCATACTGTCTCTGTGCCACCTGCTACCGGCTGCTTGGGATGAACTGCATCTCAACGGTGGGAAGCCAGGCTTCTTTTGCTCACCACTTAGTTCCCCATTTGAAGTCTAGGAGTAACAAGAAGGCAACCTATTCTGTGAAATCATCTGTCAACTAATTGATGATGTACCAGAAGGTAAAATAATTTTGGATATATTTTAGGAAAAATCCCCACCAACAAAAACAACACAAAACAAACAACAACAACAAAAATAAAATATTTGAGGATCATATTCAATATCTCACATAAACATTGATGCTGATACAGTTCTGGAAACTGGTCTCTCTTAAAAATATAAATTTTCAAGACTTAAATTAACAGCCTCTAACAGTAAAGTTAGATTGATATACCTACAAGTTCTCCTTAAATATTTACAGCTCATATTAGCATATTAAAGAGTCTGAGAACTTAGTTAGAAGGATGAAAAGTTATCCCTTATCATTTATCATTAAATTTATCATTAATGCTTAAACAAGAGAGCTTATTCTCATGAACTATACAGGCAGTAGTACTTTTATTACCATAATTGTGAAAAATTAAAGTTTCTTATCTCTCACTGTGTTACCAAAGAATACTGTGAACTTTGTAAGCACTGCTTTTAAATTATAGCATTATCATACTCTGTCACATACTATATTATATCATGCAATACAAAATACTAATATTTATGTTACATTATGTTGACTCCATTCTATTCTGCCCTTCTCTCTTTTGCTTCATTATATTCTTATCTCATATTTCAGTGCAAAATGTTGTGTAAAAACAAACTTACATTTATGATTACAGCTGATGCACTATTTCCTTTGAGAAATATTTCTAGTTTGGAGCAAACCATGCCACACCGCACTATAAATATTCTAAAAATTTGTGGAGTGTTACATTTTATTTTGTTATGGTTAGTGCTGAGAAGTACACAGTCATCGTTACATTTCAATAACAACGTTCTTACACAAGTTACTTTTACATGGGATCATATTTAGTTCTTACAATCTAAAATTTGACTTTCTGTTCCAAAATCTTGAATCTAATATATTGTTAATGTGGTTCTTGTTCTTCATGCTTATAAAATAGAAATTTTATTATGAAACTCACCATATTGATAGCATTCACAGGACCAATGCTATTCACATACATGTCTGTGTGAATTAATGTTGGTTTTACTGTAAAAAGAACCATAAATATATGTTTGCATGAAAAGACACAAAAATTTATTTTCTTAGTCTATGGTTTCTAGAATAGATTTATTTCACTGCATTAGTATTGATTTATTTATAACTAGTTTGGCACTAGTTACTAACCACATTTGAATAACAATTTTTTTAAAGACATATCTCCTTTTAAGCATGTAATTGTTATAAAAAGCATTGTGGCATCTTGAAACTGATTGTCTTTTAAATAAATAAATAAATAAATAAATAAATAAATAAATATTATATACATATAAAATGAAATTAAAACACAATATTCTCAGCTGCTGTTCATTCTCTTGTATTTTAAATGTCACCATTTTCCCTTCAGGATCTGGAATCTATTTGCATATTTTATTTTGACTTGACCCAAATAGAGAGCAGAAATATTTTGCTACTTAGGAAAAAACTATTCATTAGAAATATGAAGTGGACACAAAGAACAAAAGTATCACACATTGTTTCTGAAACACTGTCCCCTATTGATTTTTTAATGACCACTTTACCCTTAAGGTCATCTCCCACGCAAAATCTGTCTTCCTTTCAACTTCTTAGATGATGTGGCTACATAGATAATATGACAAAATCATATGGTAGCCCATTATATACCTATTTGTTAGGCAGGACCACTGTTAAAACTCTGTACTACAACATTCATGAACACTCCATTTTCATTTGACAATTAATGAACCAAGATTCATCACATTTTTCTGGATCTAAATTCATACATTTTCCCTCATCTTTACCCATTTCCTTTTAAAGTACTTTGCCTAAAACCGTGGTTGATTGAATTCTTCATGAATGCCAACATGTACACCCTCACCTTTGCCTCGGTGTGGTTGTTTCTCCACTTATGAATATTGTGCTTCACTGAACTTGCTTTGGTTAATAATACATAGACAAGAGTCAGTGTGCTAATTCTAAATTTATAAGTTAAGCTTTAGGAAAACCTGCTTTCTGTTTTATTATCTTCTATCGTCATGAAAGATGCTTCTAGCTAGTGCACGGGCTCCAGAAGGAGAATGTGAGGCACTTGAAACGTTGCCTGCCTAAGTGAGCAGGCTCAGTTTGCTTAGTTACTTCGGCCTCCACAAAGTGCTAAATGAAAGTTCAATGTTATTATTACACTAAGATTCCATGATTGATTGTTTGTCATGCAGCACTAGGTAACCAATATTGCCTGTCTATTTTCTATTTTTATTTTAGAAGTTGCTGCATAAAACATTGTAATTTATTTCTCTTGCCTGGTCTGGGATAGCTGAGAAATTTTAAGTTTTAACTCTCAAGCTTCACTTGAAAATACTATTTTTTTTTTCCATTGAACTTATCGTCACCAATGCCTCCTCCAGGGTGGAATGCTCTTCATACACACTTTGTTGGTTATAATGTACAGTAGAAATATAATTTAATTTTTCTGGCTCTAGAAAGATGCTAATATTTTGTTCTAACAAAATTAATAATGTAGACACAGTTATACGTTCCTCTCTGCAGCATGGCACAAATACTGTAGCATACCTCCTATATCAGGTCGAAGCTTATTGTCATATCCTTCCAGCAAGTTGTTTAAGATGACAGTGACATCACCCTCAGGAACTTTTGGAGTCAAGACCCATGTTTTGTTAGAAGCATAATCTTCATAGTCATCATCAGACTTTTGGCTAGTGAAGCTAGAAAAACAAAAATATCAGCCAAGAAACGCTCATTACATCAAGTTCTCTTTTACAACAGCACATTGGCAGAAAAGGTAAAATTAAGAACGTGAAATGGCAAAAAATTTTACCTGATGCTGAATAAAACTAATTAAATCATGCTGATGGAGATTAAAACATATTAATATTCTTGCCTATTCCCCAACATGTTCTGTCCTCGTATCTATAAATATATCATATATATATATTTTTATTTTTTGCCCTTTTCATATTTGATGTTTAATATATACACTTGCCCTATCTCATAAAAGACTTACGAAAAAAAGTACTTTTTGTGAACACACTGCTTCAATGATTAGAAAGTAGTCTAATAACTGAAACATAATGTCTTCTTATCTTGCTCCAACTTATTAATGAACTAAGAGGATAATGAGTAGATTCATCCCATGAACACTCAGACTTGGCTGTTCTTACCCCTCAGCTGAACTACTGGGGAGAGCTCAATCTTGCTGTCTTTTGCTGGGCTGTGTATATTTGGGTTTTTCCCTTTTCTTGCACAGAAGGCAAGAGTGGTTTGTTTATCTTTCATTGTTAAGAACCTCACACTATGGACAAAAAATGGTTCCTAAGCTATAATTTCATCCAAATGTTGATGTACTACCATCATATAAGTAAACTCATATATTTCAGCTGATCAAAAGAGTCACATAATATTCTAGAATTTAATCTCATATGCCCTAACCTGTCAGAATTCCCCCACCCAACAATCTGGATGGAAACTACATTAGGGTAAATATGATGCTGAGTAGAATTCTTAGGAGTTTATTTCTTCTCATGCCTCCAATTCCAACATCCATCTTCTCACTCACACAGTAGGGTTATATTTTCCTGATCTAGGGACAATGCAAAGTCTTACAAAAGCTACCAGTTTAACATTTTTATCAGTATTCAGGGAAGTTGTAATGTAGGATGCCATTTTTTAAAAATACAAACTTAAATGTACTGCTTCCTTCCCTCATTTCCTTTTTTTTTCACTGTGCAGTTCAGGCTGGCCTTCTACTCACACTGATCCTCCTGCCTCAGTCTCCCAAGTGCTGAAATTACAGGCATGTGCCACTACAAGCATGTGCCCAGCACTTCTTTCCTAAATATATGTATGTCCTCAACTGAAATTCTTTTTTTCAGTCAGAGTCATTGAAATACTTGTATATGCATAGTTTGACCATATATATTTACATACATATGCTTATGGATATATACACCTTCAATATGCATGCTTGCACACATGTGTGTACCCATATGTGTATGTGTGTAAATATTAAAGAGGAACAGATAGTGTATATGTAATGTGATTTGGTAGTATGGATAGAAAATGAAGTTTTAAAGATAGTCCTTGGTTGAGGCTGGGGATTTAGCTCAGTGGTACAAGCCTGGCAAGTGCCTGGCACCTGCCTGGCAAGTGCAAAGCTGTGAGTTCAATTCCTGGTACCAAAAAATAAAAAAGAACAATCATTGGTGTGGATCTGTTGGTAAACAAATACAACAGCCTCCAATTTTGTTATTGTTGTTTGGTTTTTTGACACGGGTCTTGCTTTGTAGTTTAGGCTAGTCTTCAACTCACTGTGTGGCCCAGCCTGGCCTCAAACTCATGGAAATCCTCTGGCCTCAGCTTCCCATATGCTGAGATTACAGGCATGTACCACCACACCTGGCTACACTCATTATTTTTTTGACTTTTAGGAAATACTATACAAATACCTTTATTAAAAAAAAAAACACGTAGTGTCTTACATCATGCATTTCAGCAAATGTAGGTTCTTTAAACTAGCATGAATTTCATCATGTCTGTTGTAAATAGGATGAGTTAGGCAATGTTTCCATCTGCTCTCAAAGAGAACAATCTCATTTTAGGAGCAGAAACTAGTTCTGTCAAGAAGAATCCCTCTAGGTCCTTAATCCATCTTTTCTCTAGTGTATTGCTAAAGCCTGCCTAATAGAGCTTTAATCCTATGACCCAAATCTACTAGTTTAAGAAAACAAAATAAGGCATTGCAAAGAAAATTTCAAGTTCTCTAATTCATACGATATCTGCCCCAACACATATCAGGATTAAGGAAAAGTACATTTTCAAGCCCCCCATCTCCATCTCTGTCTCTCTTGTCTCAGATACATGTGCCCAATTAAGTTTTCCTTAATCGGAGGGGGTATATATTACACTGTTTGATTTGATTGTTTGTAGTACCTCCTACACTAACAGACAAATAATGCAAACATGATGGTGCGGTTTTACTATTAGTGCTCCTGTGTGAGTAATGAAGTGGGAAAATGTACTGAGTGAAATAACGGGTACGAACTACTTGCTTAGAATGAAAGCCTTATTCCAGATTTGCACCACATTTTTCTGAATTAATACTCATTGGATGCTGAAACACTAGTCTAGTTAATTATTTCAAGTAAACATATCAGTGACAGATTTCTTTCACATTTAAAAAGGTCTACTTTGTCATAGAGTGATAAAATAACAGCCAAGAAATTCAGAGAATATGCTTGACAGCAAAAAGATGTTAGGTTTACTTTCTATATTCAAGTCCTTTGTCACTTAACTTTTTCATGGTCTTAAGCAAGATACTTTACCTTACTAAGCCTCAAAATTCTCATGTTAAAATAGAATTAATGCTACTACTCATATCACAATTTTGTGGAACATTAAGATAATGCTTAAGAAGTGCTTAGCAAATACCTGACACAGCCCTGCAAGCAGATCCATTGAAATCACTGTTACGTAGTGATCTCTACTAGATTTATAACAGCAGCTCTAACCATACTCCTAAGTAAGTAAAATTGAATGTTTAGATGCTTCTGCATGGATTTTGTCTAATAGGAGCTGAGAAAAACTAAAAGCAGATGTTTTCTAAGACGAGTCCCTATATTATAAATGAAGTTTTTCTTCTCTGCAGTTCTCTCTGTTGAGTCTAAATTAAAGGGGCTGATGCATAATCTGGGATTGCTTCCAGATTTTTCTTTTAAAAAAAGATCTCCTCTCCTTCAAGGTTGGCTGTTTCTTTCTCTGTGATTCTTTGGAAGTAAAACTTCTGTATTCACAGATAGGCTATTTAGGAATAATAAAGTCTGCCCATTAAGTGTTCTGTGCACTTGTGAACTCCAGGAGAATGCCCAGGCAGAAATAAACTGACAGTGACTCAAGAAAATTGATTTAGCTTTTGTGTGGACTGAAAGCAACGTAAACTTGAACTTCTGATGTGGGGCACCAGGCTGAATGGCGCAGCTGGGTGCTGCGGCCGTAGGTTATTACTCCTCCTGCTGCCTTTTAGTTTAAAAAAGGAAAGAAAGAAAAGAAATAAGAAATTTTTAGAAGACAAGAAGCAAAATGAAATTAATCTTTATATCATTTTTAAAGAGCATTTTTTGCCTTCTGAATAATATCTGAGAGACAGTGACAGTTGTGCGGGTTTCATTTCTTTAAAGAGTCAAAACTTTGTAACAAAATCATCTGTCCAAGAGCTTAGGAAATAGCATCAATGTCTCCTGGAGCTTTCAGAAATACAGATATGAGCATCTCCTACATTTCTAAATCAGAGTCTAGTTTTGAGCAAGTTCTGCAAAAGATTCATATAAATACGGAAATTTGAGGCTTTCAGTGGTTAGGTTGGTGACACTTCATCTCAGCTGCGTTGGTTTGTGAGTGTGTGGGTGTGTGAGTGTGCAATCCTAATAGGCTTTTTAAAAGTGCAGATTGCTTGGTTCCTGCCTTATCTCTTAATGTGAAAGTCAGTGCCGTAAATTAAATTATTCATTTACATTTTCATGTTTATAGTTTTATGCATAATTGGAATTTAGGCATTATTATAAATATAAACTCCATTTCAACTCAATAAAATTGATTTTCTTTAGTAATAAAAGAAGCTTGTGAAACAAAATATAGACATTATTCAATAAGAGTGTGCTTACAATCACACAGAAGAGTCTCAGTACTTTAATTTGGTAATGATTTTGGATGTTTGTCAAGTGAAAATTAACTGTGTTTATGAAATTTTCATTTTCATCTAGATATTTTATACTCCTATAGATTTAATATGCCTCTGTATTTTTTGGGGTCAAACTTAGCTGTTGTACTCTTCCATGATAGTAAAATAATGAAAAATATGTATTTTTTCACTGATATATCTTTTAAGCACAATAATACAAAGCATCATAAAAACAATACAAATTGTGGCATGAGAATTCCAAGTTGAAGACCAGTCTAGACAACCAAGTAAGACCTTGTCTCAAAATAAAAAATAAAAATAAAAGTTTAGAGATAAAGCTTAGTGGTAGAATGTCACTATATTTAATCCTCAGGAACAAAAATGTATGTAAGATATTTGAATTTTTTTAAAAAACTCACTTTTTGCTTAAAGTATTTTTAAATCACAGATGTTTCACTTTTTCATAGCATTAATTTTACTAATACTTGGTATGTGTGCTACCAAAAGGAGCACAACTTTACTCATATTTGAGATACAATTTTGGTTAAAATATTTTACAGATGCAATGAATCATATACAGTCTTTTATATAAAGAAATCAAGTATGTGTCTCAAAATTATATTAATATATTCATAAAAGGTGCAAGGTTGTTCATAGCAGTTTCATTAACAGTGGCCAACGGTCTGGAAAAATGCAAATGTACACTAATAAGAACTTGATTAACACATTGTGATGTAATGACTTAAAAATGACACTGTCTTTTCTATTAAAATTATTGTATATTTTTTTTGCTTTTTTAATATTACCTTTTAACTGTTTATACCCACTTCATCTTTTTCTATATTTTTTGCTTCTTTGAGACAAGGTCTCACTATGTAGCCCAAGCTAGCCATGAACTCACCACGTAACCCAGACTGGTCTTGAACTCACAGTGATCAGCTTTTCTCAGCCTCCCAAGTTCTGGAATCACAAGCGTGTAAGACCCCACCCAGAATCATATATACATATACATATTTGTAACTTTTTTAGCCA